ATCTAAACCGGGTTTCTTCAACAGAGGTCGCACAATAGCCTCTTTATACGATACTGGTACAGTAGAAGTTGATAATGACTTGTTTATGATCATCGTAATATTGCTGGCAATGCTGTTTACACAAGTTTTCAAAAGCGTAGTCGGGATTGGGTCGAGTTCACAAGATTTACTTGACGCTTTTAGAATTATTTTCGACACTTCATCAATTGACGCAGGTTGGAAGTCGGTGAGAGTGTTGCCTTCAAAACGTATATCTGCTCGTAGAGGGTCAATATCGTCGATAGAATTATTCGCCGAAAGTAAACTTGTCCTGATGTTTTCGATTTTCTCAAGAAAAAAATGTCCGAAACGATTTGACAGTTCAAACTCGCTTTGATGTGATGGAAGGATGACGTCATTACTATTTCCCAAAAGTCCGTTGGTTAATTTGAAAAGTTTTTTGTGATCATTTCCAATATCCGAAATTTTGTTTGAATAGTAATCAGTTTTACTTTGTATCAGTATTTTATTTGATGTGACACATAATTCTTTGTATATCAACTTGTGAACCTCGAGCTTTGTTTTCCGCATAGTTCTCTCAGCTTTCCGACGCTCGACCTTTGCTTTGCGGATTTTGTCGCCATACCATTCCGTGTTCGGTCGCATCGTTATGATTTTTGTTTGAACCGGTGCATGTTTGTCTAAAACTGCCTTGAGATCGGAATTATGCGATTTAACCAAATTCTCAATGTCAGGATCATTGTTGTGAATGAAACAATTCGTGTCGATGTCAGCCTTAAAACTTTCAACGTCGATATTGTTTATCTTTCGGATTGTCAATGATTTTTTCAGTCTTGCTGGTTTGCTAAGATTGATTCGGCTATGAACAGCAAAATGATCTAAGGACGCATTGCTTTTATCGTTGTATATTTGCGTGTCTTCGATTGACGGTTCACCCAACAAGATTGAACTGTTTTCTCTACTTATGATAACATCGAGCGTGTGTCCACGGATATGTGTGGGTCCATCAACTTGTTGTACCAGTCCAAGATCGCTAAGTGACTCAGTGAAAAGATACTACACTATCTGTAACCTCCGTTCTAATAAAAATAATAATAAAAATATAAATTTTGAACTCGGCTTTTTGCATTTGCGCCGATCTGCATTTCACTTTTTTTCTTTCACTTGCGCCGATTTTGTCTTTCATTTGCGCCAATTGTGTACAGGTAAATTTTAGGTGAAAGTTATTTTTTTATTTATCATATAAACCTCTTCCGTTAGCCAGTTGTACATATGTTATGAATTGTCAATTATAACATGTATATAACTGTTGTCCCCTGCTCACAAAGGGGAGGTGGGAGTAGAATTTCGAGCAGGATAAGTCAATTTAAAAGATATTTGTGCACTCTGTTTACATCCACTAAAATCACGGAGTAAAATTCTATTTACAGCATTTCAAAGCACCACAATAAAATCCATAAAAATGTAATACTAGTACAATGAATTACTAGTATTATCTTGCCGAGAATTTATATGCCACACATCTGATATATTCCTTTCTTGTCATTTTATCTTTTCTATACTTGTTGTACTTGCCAATAACGAAGTCCATCTTTTCTTTCTCGTGTCAAAACGAAGTTCTCGAACAATATGACCAAATTTTATCTTAAACATAAGGGAACACTATCTATATCCATATATTACCATGCAATATACATTCTAGGTTTACTACATGTACATGTATTTACTTGTATAGCAAATAAAGTATCGGGACTAGTAATAAAAAAAAATAAAATAGGCGCTAATGAAAGAATCAAATCGGCGCAAATTAATTAAAATATAAAAGATCGAAATTTTTTTTTAAATCGGCGCAAATCTCGTACGCCCGTGTAACTTTACACTGGTAAATTTATATGACTTACGCTTAGAATTTTAACTTCATATGTGATTTTCAAAACTGAGTTTTCAGAAGGTTAGGCCGATAAACAATACTTTCTAAAAGTTTCGATATACTGGCAACGTATGCATGTTGAGATTAACTTATTTTTTTAAGATTCTCGTGAAATAATGGTGATCTTGCAATGAAGTTAAATTTTATCTATATTGCTTAATTGACAAAATCTTATAGTAAAAATAAAAATGATAAAGGTTCATTGTCTTTTGTCATTTGTTTCATTTCAAATTGTCTCAAGGAGAAATGATAAAGATTTCGCCTGATCTCACAGAAGCTTAAGGCAAAAAATATAAGAAATTAATATACTCAGTGAATGTGAATTAACATAAAAATTTACGGTTTTTAAAACTAAACTTGTTGTAAATTTAACTTATGACAAAAACAATTGTTTCAAGAATAAGATCCAACATAAAATTTCTCACTTTCAAAAAGCTACAATGACCGGAAAGATTGAAAATAAATTTCAATTTTCAATGCCGGAAATCTATACATACAACCTTGTCTTTGTTTTAATTTCCAAAATGAGCTATTTAGATTCATAATATTTCATCCTGTTTTGAGAAATACTTTAAAGTTTTCAACGGGAAATTATTTCTTAGATTCTAAATCAATTTTTGAATTAAAAACTTATTTGTATTTTATATTTACTGTCTCGTTTATTCAAAACACGTGAGGTAGTAATAACGGGGATCGTATTTTATGATAGGTTAAATGGATGTAAAACGTTTTAGAATCAAAAACTTTAATTCATATATTATACCTATAATTTTAATTTTCTTATATTTTAAATATTCAGAAATAATGAATCCACAAACTAGATGGAATAATTTGTATACGCTCGTCTTAGTCGGGACACATAATGGTATAAAGAAGTTCGTCCGTGCTAATGTCTGTCCGTCTGTCAACAGTAGCGAAAGAGTGCGCTAGGGCGAAGTTCTGAAATTGACGCGACAAAAAACCCACACATCTAGTCTAATATAGCCAAATAGTCTATAAGTTAGCCATTGTCATCTTTCATTTCTCTTTTTATTTTCAATGATTTTGCTAATGAGAGGGAGAGGACAAAAACAGACTTTCCTTTCTAAAGCGTCGTAAAAGGTTATTTCGAACAATTTTTCATTCCGACGGATGGTGTTTCTGAAGGTTAATTTTGTGCGGCAACAACGTCATGAGATCTTATACTGATACATACATGTGATCTCTTGTATTACCGGATAATAAAGTAGGTGAATATAGTTGTTATTCTTGATTCTTGAAAATTTAAATGTGGGTTTCAAACGTCCAATTTGCAGTTTTTTTCAAACAGTGCGCCAGCAAGGAAAACTTGTACTATGACGTCAGATTCAATGTTCAGAAGAAAGACAACTCTTTTCTTCAAAACGAACGAGAAAAAAACTTGAAAATTAATCATAACTTTTTTGAAAGGTCGGTGACATATACATTTTTTGCTTTATTTTGAAGAGTACACATGGCACTTTCCTTCTTGAATTTTTTATGAAAAAATCACTGGTAGATATTTTTTAATACTTGAAACGTTTTTCATTCTTGCGTTTTATTTTTGGCGGGAATGAAATAAATCATATTTTTAAAGATCAAAACAATAAGAGTCTTAAACTCTTGAACCTGTATTTGATAGACACAAATCTTCTGTTTAACATGAAACAAAAATTATGCTTGTAGGTTTGCTATAATGGGATTTTTTGAGAGTTTAAATAACAAGCCAATATCATGTTAATATTCGGAAAAAAAACGAAACTGAGGTTGCTATAGTGACAAAACTAAGTCGGTGACCCCCAATTTTTTTTAATCATATTTTGTTCCTCAAATCATGAAATACCTTCACACAAAATTTTAAGGAAAAATCACTGGTAGAACTGAATATTCTGTTTGGTCTTTAAAGCAAGATGAGCGAATATCAATTAGAACGCTTGTAACTTGTGCGCACAAGTTAGTAACTCGTGCGCACAAGTTGTTTTTTTTTATATTGCACTCCAGGGCTTCCGTAATACTTAGTGAAAAAGAAATTTTTTTTTTTTTTCATTTTCTTCCTAAATAAAACTTAAATCGAACAATGATGGACAAAAATAGTCACATGTGTTCATACTTTCTATCGAAATCATAGTAAGGAAATATATATAATCTTTTCACCTTGTATTCTTTAAAAAAAAATAGTTCAAAATGAAATCGAAACAGAAAAATTAAAAAGTCACATCTGTACATCTATATTTACGAAACAAAAATACGGAAAAAATACGGGAATAAATATTTCCTTTTCTTTTGTCGTTCCAAAAAACTAAGATAATAATAAATAATAGTCAAAATGAACATAATGTACATTTCGTTTTCCTTGGCTTTATAGAAAAAACATGTCAACCACTTTACACTGGTGACATGTAAATATGAATAAGATAGGATGTGGAGTTTACGTCTACGGAATCATTCGATCTTTTCCCTTTTTTGATAAGTGAAATTAGGCTTACCTATATATTCTACGACTGCATTCAGTGTGATCGAATATTTCTTACATGTAACCCTCGACAGTTAAATACGCGAGGTATAAGAGTTTTAAATATTAAAAACTTATCTAATTTAATACCGTATTGCACATGATTCGTGGTGGTATCTGTTCTTAAATGATTTTTTTGAAGATATGTTGACAAAATATTTGTTTTTGTGATCTACAAAAATGTGTTCTTTTTGCGTGATGTCATCATGCATGGTCGTTTTTCTTGTGATATTACAATTATAGCAAATTCAGTGGAAATCAAGAGATTTGAAGTCTTTATTGACTTTTAAATCTTGGAACTAAAATCAAACAAACCACACGTTGATGTTGGGTTTGTTTTTGCTTTTCTTTTTTTTTTTTTTTTTTTTCTTACTCTTTTAATCTGTTACACAATAGCAATATTATTTCAACAGAATACTAATGTCAGTTAAACGTAAAAAACTAAACCTTGGTTTTCACCTAATTGATGTGGTTTTTCAATTCTAAAGCACTCTGTTTCGTCTATTTTTTTTCAGTATTTTTTTTAAGTAAATTCATAAAATTGAGACAACTAAAAAAATATTCTTGGTAATAGATTTTATATTTGTAAATAAATAATGATATGTTTATATACAATGGTTATAGCATAAACGAGATAAAAAGTAAAAGTATAGTGTCAAGTCTTTGGATTTTCGCATCAAGATATCACAGTATTGTCGCAGTTGTCTCTCTTTCAATATATACATTTCTCACTGAAAAAGATAAAAAAAAAATAAGATATTTAAAGAAACAATAATAATTATAAAATGTTTTGATCTCCGTTGTATCTTTCCATTTGTTTTTTGTTTTTTCTAATTTTTTTTAATTTTTCTTTGTAACATTAGTTCTGATTCCTTGCCCGGTTTTGGTTATACTTCTTTTTTGGTTTATTAACTCTTGATTTTTAATCAGTTTTAGATTTTCAAAATACTTTGGCCTCGGGCATCACTAAAGAGACATTCATTGTCGAAATACACAACTGGTACCGTTAGTGTTATTTCAAAATGTTACATGTATCCTGTACTCCATCGTCTTGAGGTCATTGAACATTAAAAAATATATGATTTTTTTTTCTATCAAACTATATAAACAAATTATATGTAAAATCACAAACAGTATATCTATTTGTATTTCCATGATCTTCGTTTTGTGACTATCCCATTATTTAGAGCATTTTTATAGAGGTATATATTTTAGTATGATGAAAGATGAAAACCACGAAGAAATATTACAATTGTATCAACCAAAACAAATTTCGGCGAACTTTTTTTCTTTCAAATATGCATTTATGCTTCTTTATACTTACATGTAGCTGTTTTGTTGTTTCACTTATACCACAAGTCAGCGATTTCCATATAATATGTGCAGGTTTTTTTTTTATTTTTGAAAAAAAGTATTATCAAGTATGTTTCTATAATAAAATTAAATACGTACCCCTCGGAAACTTAATAAATCTTGAGTCTTCGGATTCATATGGAAAACTGCAACAATATATAAGGATTATAAACTATAAGAATAACCAAACATACAAAGCAACTTTTGTTATATTCCGTTATCTATCTTTATTATTTATACAGATGAAAGATATGATCAAAACTTATATTTAAATGCAAACAGTTCGAATATAAAGTTAAATGCTAAAATAGTTTCACTCGATGAAGTAAAAGTCTTCCTTGCATGATGCGATAAGAAAGTTAACTCAATGTAATATGTCATAATAATGTCTTGGTCATTAAGGCGTGGCTCATAGAAGCGTTAGTCGCCCCATACGAAATCGGGACCGGTACCATTCTATTGTCAAATCAAAATAATACTTTTAACGATTTTAAAATAAATCTATGATAAAGCGACATTAATGTATATATATCAATAAACCCAGTTTTTCTAACGTACATGCAGTTGTATGATTTTCTAGATTTCCTCGAATGATAGCTCAAAGGACGACTGTTTAGAGCAATATGATAAATATTTAAAATAATGATAAATAATTACATTTAATAACATGTGGTCGAGGTTTAAACAAGGAAGCTCCACCAAAAATTTCTGTCATTGGTGGTAACCGTTTTCGAGAAATCTCTCTCGTGTCGGTGGTTGCTGCCAGTGTCTGCTGCGGAAAAAATCCTCTGTTTTGCATCGCCGGTATTGGTTCTCCTCCAAATGTCTTACCGGTCACTGATGGTACTCTGTTTTTAGCAAATTGACTTCCTTCTACATGTCGGTTGGAAGCTAAAGCAATTCTTGTGTTTGTCGTTGGTGAAAACCCCTTCTCATGTAGTGCATTGCCCGATCTAGACTGGAAAGCCCTACCTGATGAGAGAGTGGGAGCCAACTTAGCGAAATTGATGGTTTCCCGATGACTAGCCAGTTGTACTTTTCTAACTAGAAACAAAAAAATCATCTTTATGTTTTATATTGAATGTTTGCCTCACTCAATTAATTACAATTATTCTGTAGATTTTAATTATTTCAGCAACCATTTTGAAATATCTACGTGAAAAAAAACAGAATGAGATAGAGAACTGAAAAGAAGTAAAAAAAAAATAAACTTATGTTGATAAGTCAAACAATATAAAACATTTTGGGGTACATGTACACAACTGAGAAATTTTTATTTTTGGACATTTAAAAAGTTGATAAAAACAGACTCCATTGTTCCCTTTATCGTGAGTCGAAAATTGTTGTTTTCATTTCGTATCATTGTGGTTAAATTCGTACATATAACCCGTATTATTACAACGATCATAAATAATACTCAACACGTCAATAGGAATGAATTCTGTTATAATTCTTTTCACACATTTTACTTTCAAGTTTCAAAAATTATAGTTTATGCAAAATAAATTCTTTAAATCGTTTTATATATATGATTTCCAACACCTTTTCATTATCTTATTACGCAAAATGATCGCTTTTCTTCTCAAGTACCGATTTTGAAAATCAGCTTCATTTTCAACTGTATTTTTTTAAGAAACGATAATATGGGTAAAAATTGCTGTTGCAATAGAAATTTAACATTTTGGATTTCCACTCACTGCTTGTTCTCATAGAAATAATTCAAAACAATAATGGCAAAATGTTGGCAAAAGATCTTACGGAAAGTAGTAGTTTTAAGATATTAGTACCAAGATTACCTTCTACTTCGAAGTTTTTCACCGAAAATATCATTCGCCAATTATAGAATATAAAAAACAGAAAAATGTATCTTAGTATGAATAAAACATAATACATCACAAAAAGTCTTAAACTAAACATCTGGGTGTCAAAGCAGTTTGGGTCTTCGTGTCCTATATGTACATTTCTTAATCGTACGCAGTCTTTAAAAGGTTGTTCATAAAATTTAACCGAGACCATCAACGATCATATTCCAATATCAAATTATTTAAAGTAAAACAACACAAACACTGACCAGATTGATTAAAGTTAATATACATGAAGAATTTTGTAATAATTTCTAGCCAGTCTATATGCGAACAAGCTTATAAAATAAGGAGATGTGGCATGATTGTCAACAGATTCGAAATGACTTGGATTTAAGCAATTATTGGCCGTGGCGTTGATATAGAGAACTAACATGTATACTAGCATTTGGTATTTAGAATATTAAGAAATGTTCATTACATGGTTTATAAATTACCTGCTTGTCTCTTTTTATGTACTGTTTTTCGTCCTCTGGATTGCTGACGGGGGTGAAATTTTGATCCTTTATTCTGCTCTGCGATTAATACCCTCAAGCCATTAAACCTTGACATTTTATCGTTAAACACATTGTTCTCTTTAAATGACGTCGCTGTCGGTTTGCCGATGTGATTTGACCATGTGTCATCAACGACCATGTGCATTCTCGCATCTTGAGATGGTAGGATATCTTTTAAATTGTGAAGTTCCACTGGTGCGTTCAACTGAAAACTGTGTTGGTTACCCATTGGTAGAAATTCAGGATTAGACTCTTGGACCATCAGTGGTTCGGGATTAGTTTGCTGAAAGTTAGAATCGGATTTAGACGATTTGAAGTTATTGACTGGCAACGGTGCTTCCAACTTTAAATTTTGTTGATTAAGATATGGTGATAAAGTAAGACGATGCTGTTGGTTCATAACATTGTTTTGAAAATTAGAACTTGATATGTCTTTTTGTTTAATTGGCGAGTTTTGAACTGCATGGACAACGTTGTGTTTAGTTGACGAGTGTTGATTAAGAAATGGGGATAAACTAAGACGATGCTGTTGGCCCGTAACATCGTCTTGGAATTTAGAACTTAATATGTCTTTGTGTTGACCTGGCGAGTCTTGACCTGCATGGACAACGTTTTGTTTAGTTGACGAGTGTTGATTAAGAAATGGTGATAAACTAAGACGATGCTGTTGGCCCATAACTTGGTCTTGAAAATTAGAACTTGATATGTCTTTTTGTTGAGTTGATGAGTCTTGAACTGCATGGACAACTTTTTGTTTTGTTGACGCGTGTTGATTAAGAAATGGTGATAAACTAAGACGATGCTGTTGGTCCATAACACGGTCTTGAAAATTAGAACTTGATATGTCTTTTTGTTGAGTTGATGAGTCTTTTACTGCACTGACAACATATTTTTTAGTTGACGAGTGTTGGGCTGGATCGACAAGCGAACGAACTTTAAAGTCGAAATTTGGATTTAAATCTGCTCCAGCGTTCAATACATAATCCCTAGGAACCAAAACATAATTCGGTGTATTTTTCAACTGCATCAGACTCTGTCCTGGTTGACTTAATTTAAAATGATTGTCAAGAACTGGGTTACGTGGTTGGACATCTCCCGTAGTCGGCCAAGCCACGGTCATACCGTGCTGTGTAATTGATACATCATGAGTAGGTGAAACATCGTCAATGTTCTGGTGTTGCTGTTTGTCCTTTTTATTACCCTCAGTTTTGAGAGTTTCTTGACTAAAATCAACGCCAGTTGATAAACGATGATTTTGTGATAAACCATCTTGTGCAGTAACGTCATCACTAGGGTGCGAAATGTGGTTCTGTTGATTGACTCTGTTACCCACATTATTGAGAGTTGCTTGGCTAAAATCAACGCCACTTAAATGTCCACGATGTTGTACAATACCATTTCCCGCGTTGAAGTCATCAGTTGGGAAGCTAATTTGGTGCATTTCTTGTCTTTGGCCATATAACGCTTAAAGAGAATAAAGAAAAATGCAATAAATATTTTGTAGCCAAATCGTCTTTTATAGATATCATAGAATACCTTATAAAAACTTATTTCAATAAAAAGGCTCTCAATTATCTTTTTCAATCTTTTTCAAGTATTATTATCTTCAAATTTATTGCATTTATTACTTTTTTAATAATATTTTAAACAATAACATTGAAGGTTGAATAGATTTTTAACGCATTTCAAAAGTACAAGCTGTAATCTTAGACTGTCAAAGAAAAAAAATGTTGAACTTAAATTTGTAACTTGAAAGGAAAAAATTAATACGATTTAGATGTTTGTTACATTAGAAATAAAAGATAAGATGATAATTGGAGTATTAAATTGTTTAACGAGGCGTATTATTTTTAGATATCAGAAACAATAATATAGATAACTAGTAAAACTTCATAACTCTTATTTACCTGATCCTTCAACGGAAAATAAAACTGCTAAGATGACGAAAAAAACGATTCTTGTCATATTGTCAACTGAAATAATGAATAAGATGGTAAGAATAGAAATATATACATATATATATAAACGTAAAAGATGATAATTAACAACCACACAAAAATATATTTAAAAAATAACAGAAAGAAATATGAGACAAATTCACAAAAAATTATCAATTTATAATTTAAAGCATACTCTCTAAACATCTTAACCATGATAATATTTTTTATACCAAACAACATTCAAACCAGAAAAAGATACAACAAAAAATAGTTAACTTCTTTTAAAATTAATATCAATAAACAAGACGAGACAACAGGCTTATACAATCTCACCTTTCAAGTTAAAGACTCCTTGTCAAATTGAAAACAAGTGTTCATTCAAACATATTTATTAATAAGTCAACGAGGAAATACATAATTCATTAGTTTGTAAAGTGTTGACGACTGTCACTGCGTCACTTATAGGTTAGGTCATTGATGAAAACAAATAAATACCTGTAGTGAAAACAGCGTAATGACATTTGTGGGCTTTTTTGCCTACCTTATACATTCTTAGAACGTGTATTTCATTACTGTTAAAAGAAACATTATTTTAATATATATGACATCCGGTGTCAATTGTATATTTTATTTTCAATTTAGGATTATAATTTAAATAATTATTCAATTTATTCCTATTCACTAATTAATGGTATACACCCACAAAATATTTGGCGTCATTATGGATGAGTGTGTCAACTTAGTTCAAACTTTGCATACTGGACTCTTATTAAAAATATAAAAAAAAACAATTAACTGTTCAACTTGCTAAAATAGTATTGAATAGTTCAACATATGTATACAATGACAATGAAATCTACCAAAATCTATGTCAAAATTATCTTTAATATCTTCTTTCTCTAAACCTAGTACATTGATATTTTTAATCTATAAGTTTTTACCAGATAAATAACCGTTTGAATGATGTAAAATAAATATATGGTCGGGTTTTTTTTGGGGGGAGGGGCTATACATTAGTCACAGTGATGTTTTTGATGAAAAAATACCCCCGAAAAAACGTTCAAATTAGCGTAACGTCGTCACTTTCTAAAGCCATAAAACGTCATTTTTTATTCTCAATCCATCAAAATGGAAGTTTAATTATTTTATATAAACATAACGCTGACATTGGTGTAGCAACAACATATCAACTTTTAAAGACTTTTTAATTGGAGATTTGATGAACGTTTTTCATCGATTTTAACCCCAAAGGGCGACTGGGGATTCGAAATATAGTCACGCTTGGTCATCTTCCGACTGACAGTAAAACCCTCGACAAAGTGGGGCGTCCGTTTGGCTGTGAAGAAAACTCTAAATCCGATGTCCTGAGTAGAGAAAGCGCTCTTGCAAACACTCTTTTGATGGGTCCGTAGGTGACCTGTTGCAAGGCAACATTGCTGTCCTTATCCAATATACCCTAATTTTCCAGTGGCAGTCCAAATTTCCCGGACGGCTCCTATTGCAGGAGCTACCTAATGTAATTATTGTTAAATTTGTTCTCGTCCTGAACATGCCTGAAATATTTGCCATAGGACGTTAAGCAACACATAATCATCGATTTTACGTGCTTTCTACATGCATAAAAATGTACATCTATTTTGAAAGAATAAATTCAATAATGCTTCAGAAAGTAAAAAAGATAAATGCATTACGTCCTAGAGAGATAAATACATTACTTCCTAGAGAGATAAATACATTACTTCCTAGAGAGATAAATACATTACGTCCTAGAGAGATGAATACATTACTTCCTAGAGAGATAAATACATTACTTCCTAGAGAGATAAATACATTACGTCCTAGAGAGATAAATACATTACTTCCTAGAGAGATAAATACATTACTGCAGTTGGATGTATACTGTTACAGTAATCTGTGACATGGACTATTAACTATAATGTTATCTTCATTCTCAGGAATGTATCGTTGAAATGGAAATAAAGAAATATCAATCGTTAAACTTTTCAAATATCGATGGATGTCTCCTCAAATTTTTTTTTTCAGTATTTTATTAAAGTGGTAACTTTTTGTGAAAACTTTCACATTATTCAAGAAAGATTGTATTTATGCAATGTTAAGTTTACAAAACTTTAATTTTTTTCGAAATGCTTACCGGGATATTCTTCCCCATGAATAAGTTACCTTAGTTTTATTTGGCAAAATCTTTCTGAATTTTGGGTCTTCAATGCTCTTCAACTTCGTACTTTATTTGGCCTTTTAACATTTTTTTTTATTCGAGCGTCACTGATGAGTCTTTTATAGACGAAATGCGTGTCTGACGTACAAAACTTCAATCCTGGTATCTATATATGAAGAGTTTATTTCCAAGATGAATGGCAAGTTACATATGTTTAACTAGTTTATTCATGAACGTTGATTGGCAAAAAAGTAGTTAAAATACCTTGGATATGTTCTACGGCAGATCTCACGCTAGCATTTTTTTTCCTGAGAGAGAGGTTTGAAAACTTGACACCTACATGTATGAAATTTAGAATACCAAATATTTGTGAAACTCAATTGAGAAACGCATCCGTCATTTACATAAATATGTCAAAGTAACTGAAACAAACTGTGTATCTATAACAATTGATTCGGAAACTTTAAGAAAAAGGTCATAAATCCTGATACTGACAAGTGTACGTAATTATCTCTATCTGCACATTTCTTACAAAAGACGTTCCAGCCCATTAAATCCTAGTGTATATTTGCATGTATACATGTATGTACGATAAATTTGATTGTTTTTACAAAAGTGCACCTATGCATCAATGTTAACCCACTTTGTGGTTTAATTTACGCTTCTTAGTCTTTTTTACGTAGTATTACACAATTCCTTCTTTTTGATTGGTTGGCTAATATAGTGTTGGGGTACCTGTAATGACATCCTACTGTAAAGGATTGTAACAAGATTAATGTCCTTATAAGAAAATGATGGGTTTCATTTCCACATTTTTTTATCCGACAATTTGGCTTCCATGGTGATATGAAATTAGATGTAACTTGTATGACGTATAAAGATTATTTTCATATTACGTTTGACATGTAATTTCGTGGAAATTCGTGTTGTACGCATTGGCATGTCGATAGTTTTGTAAAATCTATATGAAGATTTAAATGACATATATTATGTTTTATGCATCTATGTCAACCACGAAAATGAGCGCTCCATGAAAAATTTCAAGTAGGTTAGGAATATTTGAAATATAAAACACATGGCAACAAAATAGTCATATAAGAGCTCTCCTGGTTACACATGGGTTAGAACTTTCAAAATAACAAGCTCTTTAGAAGATAGTATATAAATACCGGAACTAAGTAGCAGGAAATAAAATTATAAGGTCCATGTCCTTGGTTTTGAGATATACGCCATTGAAAATTTGGCGGGAAATGATTCTTTTATAAAAAAAATTTATACATTTAACATTAACACCTTTTTATTTTTAACAGCTATGAAAATTTAACAAGGATTTTATAAGATTATCAAAGATGGTCTTTTAAACTATAGTTAAATAATTATGAAAAGAAAAGTAGGAGGTAGTAGGCAAAATATTTAATGGCTCTACATGGATAAAACCAGTTGATTCCGAATATCTGACAAGAAGCCAAAAAACAAGACCAGCGAACATCCTTCAACTGATTAAGGGTTTATTTGTGCAACGTATTCTACAAATATGTCATGTATTCAGTACGAAAATCAGCTCTTCAAATAACGAGAACTACATGTACAATAAATAACTTTAGAAGGCTCTAAAACTTTGGTGGCTAGGGAGGAATGTCGGAAAAGTTTTGCTCAATAAAATTATGACATACGTGTAATTGGTAGATATAGAATAGAAAAGTGATTGGTTACCAAAAGGTCATTTAAGATTCCTTCCAAAATCTTACTATGAACGAAACTCTTCCTGCACATGAAACTCTATACCATATGTTAAACTCACCGTGAGCCTAAGTGTAGACAAGTTGTATAACCTCTAACTATTATATATTATATATAATATATAGGGCTTTTTGTTTTTGAATTGTTACGAAACGTATTTTATTTGATTGATTGTTTGTTGGTTGCTTAACGTCCAGTGGCAAATATTTCACGCATGTTCAGGACGAGAACAAATTAAAAATAAATACAATGGGTAGGTACTGTAAAAGAGGCCGTCCGGGATGAAGGTCGGGAAAATTTGGAATACCACGGGAAAATGAGTTCATTGTGGACAAGTACAGAAATTAAGCCTTGCAACAGGCCATCTACGGACCCCTCAAAGAGTTGTTGCAAGGGTTCTTAACGTGCAAAGAGCGTGGCACTCTCTTTACACGAGGCATCGGATTTAACGTCCCTATTCTGACCGGACATGGCTGTGAACTTATACATCCTGCACAGCCAAACGGACGCCCACTTTGGCGAGTGTTTTACTGCCGGTCGAAGGAAGACCAATGGTGAGCATATTTCTATTCTCCAGTCACCCTTGGGGGGAAATGTATTTTAACATACTTCTTTTATTTGAAAATAAATCATGCTGAAGTTTCAAGGTAACTCTCAGAAAATGTAAAATACATGGCGAATTGTCTTTTAAAATTCTCATAAGAATCATTATCGCAGTCGAGTTTGAATTTGAAAATATGAGTTTTCTACCTCTAAACGTAAAATGGGAAAAGTGCTGTTAGCGTTATTATAACTCGATTTCTTCATGCATTTCAAAGAAGGAATAACAGATGTATACTACAAACATTATTGGCAACTTCTTTAATGATTGCCCTAAAAAAAGTATTCATAATAATAAATAACTCCGTACATAAAATCTTGAAGGACGGCGACGACCATTACAGTAACTTTCCATGTAGCAATTTTCGTGTCCTTACTTGTCAAAAAATGTTTAAACCAATAATAAAACATAAAAACTGTGTAAAGCCGAGTATGAATTTTCCATTTGACAGAAGTAACAAATATAATGCGATATTTCAAATATTTGGCATATTGAACATACACAAAACACATGTAGTAATTTTTCGTCCCGTATGTTTTTCGTCGCGTAGCCTTAGAATTTTACATAAATTTTTTTTTTCCTCTCGAGAATTCACAGTATAACAATTTTTAGGCGTATATTTGTATATGTCAATAATGCTTAATAAATACAGGGTACCATGAATTCATATGGAAATCATTAATACTACTTACCTCGGCAAAGAACAGTCAATCAAGGTAGGTAACCAGCAAAACTTTGACGTTAAATGTTTTGATTTATGATGCATACGTGGTAAACAGATATATATAACTCAAATCAATTTCAAACTGCGGTTTGAGGTTAATTTCTAATGCAGTAAAATGAATAATTAAATCACGACCAGAAGAAAAATTAATTTAAATTACTTATT